GAAAAAATGAAGGGGGGAAATCAGAGGGGGAGACGAACCATGAGAGACTATGGGCTCTGAGAAACAAACTAAGGGTTCTAGAAGGGAGGGGGGTAGGGGGATGGGTTAGCCTGGTGATGGGTATTAAAGAGGGCACATACTGAATGGAGCACTGGGTGTTATATGCAAACAATGAATCACAGAACACTACACCAAAAACTAATGATGTAATGTATGGTGACTAACATAACATAATAAAATAAAATTTAAAAAAAAGAATTTTAATTTCCATAATATCCTTTACTTTATCCCATTTTATATGCACAACAGACTCAGAATAACATTACTAATATCATTACCAATATAGAGAATGGTTAACTTATTAGCATATGTTTTCTTCATATTCACCAATATTTTTCTTAGTTATACTATAAAATTATGAGATAGTTATTATGTAGTATTCTTTTTCTTTTGGCCATCAGTTAGTCCTAGTTCTATAAGAAACTATAACTTTTCTGTTCATCACTAGTCCTTAAATTGATGCCTTTTTAATAATTTTGATTGTCTAAAGTGATTTTTAAGATTTAAGATCCTCTAGAAAAAAATGTGGGCCAAGGATTTCGCAACTGGCAAAACTGATTTTTTTAAAGATTTTATTTATTTATTTTTGAGAGAGAGCAAAAGCAGGAGTGTGCGCAAGGGAGCGCACAGAGGGAGAGGGAGAGGGAGAAGCAGGCTCCCCGCGGAGCAGGGAGCCCAATGGGAGTAGGGAGCCCAATGCAGGGCTCCATCCAGACCCTGGGATCATGACCTGAGCCGAAGGCAGATGCTTAACTGACTGAGCCACCCAGGCGCCCCAGCAAAACTGATTTTTGAAGGCAAAAAACTACCAACATGCAAGAGCAAAGCAACACTGTTCACGTGAGCCCTTCCAGAAGAACCTACTGGAAAATGAGGTTCAGGTGCTTTTGTCAAATTGGTTCCCTATACTTTGCATTGAAAACATTAGTTATTTGGGGGTTCTTGTCCTTTCTTTACAACTGCTATCCCAGTTGTTTCTTTTTGCTTTCTTTCACACTAATGTCAATACCATGCAGGTCTTGTGGCTGTTTGGATTTACTTGTTTTTTGGATTTCTTGGAGCTATCTGGTAATGTGGTTTTTTGGTAAATGATGCCATGGGTTTTTGGTTTTAACTATTTATCTGGTTTCTATTGAGGATTTGGAGACACTGAAAAATTATGCTTCTATTGCTACTGTGATTTTTTTCTAGGTTTATAATTTAAAGGAACACCCTGGTTACCCAGTGGCCAACAGACTGTAGTAAGGAAAAGCAGAAGCAGTGTAAGACTAATTAGGAGGCTACTACAATAATCCAGATGAGAGATGATAATAGGTTAGACTAGAGTAGTTACTATGGAGGTAATGAATAGTGGTCAGATTCTGAATATATTTTAAAGATAGAGCCAACAGAATTTGTTGATGGACCAAAAGTGAAGTGAAAAGAAAGAGAGAATAACTTTAAAGATTTTAATCTCAAAGGATGGACTTACTATTTCCTAAAGATGAGCAAAAAATATGAGGGGTAAAGTTTGGGAGTAAATTTCAGGAGTTTAATTTTGCACATGCTCACCTGAGGGGTCCAACTGAACAGATATCCATGTGGAAATACTAAGCAGGAAGATGGATATATGAGTCTGGAGTTCTGAGGAGAGGGCTGGGTTGGAGTCATATATTTAAAATCCATCAGTGACTAAATGTTTAGAGTCATAAAACTGAGTAAGATTGACAAGGGAATAATTCTGCATTTGAATTCTCAGGACAAAGGCATGTTAATGTTGGAGGTCAAGGAGACAAGAAAGAACCAAGGAAAAGATACTGAAAAAGAGCAGCCAGTCAAGTAAGAAGAGAATACAGAGAAAGTTCTATAATAGGTTGTTACATTAAAGGCCCCCCCCAGGGGCGCCTGGGTGGCTCAGTCATTAGGTGTCTGCCTTCTGCTCAGGTCATGATCCCAGGGTCCTGGGATTGAGCCCCGCATCAGACTTCCTGCTCTGCAGGAAGCCTACTTCTCCCTCTCCCCGTCCCCCTGCTTGTGTTCCCTCTCTAGCTGTCTCTCTCTCTGTTAAATAAATAAAATCTCGGGCGCCTGGGTGGCTCAGATGGTTAAGCATCTGCCTTCGGCTCAGGTCATGATCCCAGGTTTCTGGGATGGAGCCCGACATCGGGCTCCCTGCTCGGCGGGGAGCCTGCTTCTCCCCCCCCCTCTGCTTCTCCCCTGCTCATGCTCTCTCTCTGTGTCTCGAATTAAAAAAAAAAAAACAAAAAAAGACTTTACAAAAAATAAATAAATAAATAAAATCTTAAAAAAAAAAAAAACCCCCCCCCCCCCCTTGAATTATGTCTTGCTATCCATGACTTGTATAGTCTCCTACAGTGACTCTGGACTTGGTGAAATGACTTGCTTTGGCCAATGGGACATAAGCAAATGTAACACAAGCAGAGGCTTAATAAGACGTGATATCCCATATTAATTCAAAAATCCGCAACAGAACAAGCAAAATGAACTCAGCATCATATTAAAAGGATTATCCCCAGGACCAAGTGATCTTTCATCCTTAAGAGGGCTGACCCAGTCTCCTTACAGGGCAATCACAGCAGAGCAAGAAAGTGAGGTTGAAAGCAGAAGCCTCAAGACTTCTATGGGCAAGTCTTGGTTATCACCTATTGCTTCCACAGTAGTCAAAACAAGTCAAAAGGCCAGAACAAATTCAAGAGGAAAAGAAAGAGAGTCCACCTCTTGATGGAATAGTGGCAAAGTTATATTATAACACACAGGGCCATGCCTCCAGGAATGGCTCAACTTCTGGCTATCTTTGTAAACACTATCCAACCATCATATATTAAATTTCCTCAAATATTTAAATCTGTTTCTAGATTGTTTTTAAAAATCTCTTCCATCAATTTACATTTTTATTCATATGCCAATGCAAAACTATTTTAACTACATAGGTATCATTAAGATATTATTAAATAGCTGTTAGCACAGTCCTACCTCATTCTTCTTTTAAATTTTTTTCCAGAAATTCTCATTTATTTTTCCATACATTCTTTAAAATTATTCTATTTTTTAAAAGGTAGTTGTTTTATTCAGATTACATTTCATTTGTAGGAGAATTTAGAGAATTTACTATACCATGTTTTCTATCCAAGAGTATAATTTGTTTTTCCATTATGTAAGTCTTCTTTAATACCCTTTGTTAGCATTTTAAGGTTTTTAATTTTTATGGAGCCTTCATATTTCTTGTTAAGTTTATTTTTAGTTTATTTTTTATTGCTATTGAAATGATATTTATGTTTTCTAACTGATTGCAAGAAAAGAAAGTATTAATTTTGTAGCCTGGATGTTGCATAAACGTAAGGTAAGTTACTCACCCTCTGTAAGGTTTAGCTTCCCTAATGAAATTCATTGAGTTATTTTTAGGAATAAAGGAGTCAACACAAGTAAAGACCCTTGAATGAGGCAAAGGTTCAGTAAACATTACCTATTATTAATATTATCACATTTGGTGATCAGCCACCTTACTGAATTGATTCTCTAATTTCTACTAGTTTTTCACTTGATTCTCTTGGGTTTTCCAGTCATACAGTATCATCATAATCTTGATAATTTTGTTAACTTCTTTAATATTTTACAAAGTTTTTTCTTTTAGAATGGCAATGACTAATAGTTTCAAAACAACAATTAATAAAAGTAATTTTCTGATCGGTTATGTCATTTCTGACAGGCAACAATATTTGTGTTTTTTTTTTTTTTTTAAAGATTTTATTTATTTATTTGAGACAGAGAGCATGAGAGGGAGGAGGGTCAGAGGGAGAAGCAGACTCCCTGCCGAGCAGGGAGCCCGATGCGGGACTCGATCCAGGGACTCCAGGATCATGACCTGAGCCGAAGGCAGTCGCTTAACCAACTGAGCCACCCAGGCGCCCCAATATTTCTGTTTTAAATGTAAATAATTGGGGCGCCTGGGTGGCTCAGTTGTTAAGCGCCTGCCTTCGACTCAGGTCATGGTCCCAGGGTCCTGGGATCGAGCCCCGCATCGGGCTCCCTGCTCCGCAGGAAGCCTGCTTCTCTCTCTCCCACTTCCCCTGCTCGTGTTCCCTTGCTCGCTGTGTCTCTCTCTGTCAAATAAATAAATAATCTTAAAAAAAAAAAAAACAAACCTTTAAATGTAAATAATTGCCGCATTAAAATGCTATAGCATATCTACACCAACCACTGGTTATAGATATTCCTCAATTTGTGGCAGTTAAGTTCTTTCTTTTTTCACTATGAAAAACAGTATTAAAATAGTCATCTTTGTATATAAATATTTGGGCACATTTTGCATTATTTCCCTCAGCAGCCTAAAGTAGATGTTCTAAGCTCTGGATTCACATTGCCTTTCAATAAGACTACACTAACCTGCACTCCCATCGGCAGTGTTTCTGAGTACCTCCCTCACTGCACCTCTAACCGGTAATATCTTTGAGAGAAGCAAAATGATGGTGGTTGTGTTTAGCTATTGTGTAGTTAAACTAACAGCCAGTGGTGGAGTCTAACTCCTCATCTATCAAGTGGCCCTGGCCATAATCCTGAACAAGACCTCCTTGAGCAAGAACCAGCACAGGGCTGCCAGAACCTATTCTGTTAGAGCAGGACTTTTCTACCTGGGCACTACTGACGTTTTGGATTAGATAATTCTTTGCTTCAGTCTTGCCCACTGAAGAGTGTTTAAGAGCATCCCTGGGTCTCTATGCACTTGATGGGAATAGCACCATTTCTCCCAGCTGTAATAATCAAAATGTGATCAAATAGCCCCAAGCACCGCAAAATTGTCCCCTGCTGGAAAACGCTGTGTTAGAAGAATGAAATTCTAGGCTTCAGATATAAAGCTTAGGGTCACAGGAATACAAGTTCAGATAAACTTTTATACAGGCAGACATCAGTAAGATAAATAAAATGCAGAGTAAAATACTCACTTTGCTTTATAAGGTGAGTCAGATCCAGAATTTTTTGTTTCTATTAAGCTCTCATATTCCTTGGCCCTGAAGAGAAAAAAGTTTTATCACTGTTAGTTATTGTGCTGCCAATTTTTATAACAAACTAAAACCCTGATTATGTTTTTCCTGTTCCAGTATTAGAAACATTAGTGTAACACTTTGATTTCTGAGAATATTTCTTTAAAATACTATAAATGCTATCAAAAAAGATTAAAAAATAAATATTTCCTCATAGGATAAAGAGGAGCTTCATATAAACATTTCTCAGTTTACAGACCTGGTATAGAATGGGGCTTATTTTTCAGAAATATTAAAATCATGATAATTAAATTTGAAATCATATTAAGTTTCTATAAGACAGTTGAAATGGCTAAACATCCATATACCTTAAGAGGTATATAATACAAAACTGAATACAAGAATAGTTATTTACCATTAGAAATAATTTAAAAGGCAGTGGAAATGACTAGACACTCAAAGATTTGTCTTCTTTTGTTTTTGTTATTTATATTTGCTAAATACTGAAAGTCTAGAAAAATCTGAGATAACATTTCTCTGCCACTGTCTAACTAGGCTCTAGCTTGCTTGAACCAGTAGGGATAGCCATCAACAGTTAATCGATTTAACATAGGTGTCACTATAGCAATCCCTTAATATTGACTTAATTTGTAAATTTCTCTTTTTGAAAGAAAAAGAGGAAAATACTAATTTAAATTTCATCTGCTCACCCAAAGGGTCCTAGTCTCAAAGAATTAGTCTAGTGACCTATGAAAGAATTAGTCACAATGTGTATACCAATCTAGACTGCAATGAAAAAATAAGTAATACTTCATAAAAAATCATGAAAGATGCAAATTGCAACAGCTCTAATAAGGAAAAAGCGAACTAGCACAGGTTAAACATGGGAGCAAAAGAATAAATTAGAGTTAAATTATATATTGTTGTGACCTACACATGCTCATTGCTATCAGCCAAAATATTAAGGCATATGAAAATGGGGAATAACCACTTACAGTGGCAAATAATTGTGAACTTGGTCCTTAGTTAAGATGGCAGAGGAGTAGGAGACCTAAATTTCGTCTGGTCCCAGGAATTCAGCTAGATAGGGATCAAACCATTCTGAACACCTGCGAACTCAACAGGATATCAAAGAAAAGAATAGCAGTAACTCTCTGAACAGAAAAGCGACCACTTTCTGGAAGGTAGGACGTGCAGAGAAGTGAATCCAGGCGATATTGGAGAGGACAGATGGCGGGGGAGGGGGCCTCCGGCGGCCACTTCCAGCCAAGTGATAGAGCAGCAGAGCACAAAATCGGAACTTTTAGAAGTCTGCTCCGTTAAGGGACGTCGCTCCAGTGGCTAAGCTGGGGGTGTGGAACCATCGCTGGGACAGTGTGGTCTCAGGACCCTCGGGGTCACAGAAAGACCGGGGGTGCCTGAGTGCAACAGAGCTCCCAGGTTTCGGAGTGGGGAAGCCGGCTGCAGAGACAGAGCCGAGGAGTCGGCTCCCAGCTCAGGGTTGCCATAAACCTGTGATCCGCGGCACAGTCGGGCCATTGCTCTTCCAACAGGGACCCAACAAGCGGCAGATCTGGGGAGACTCCTCTTCCTCCCCCGGGAGGAGTGGCGCTGGAGACTAGGACCCTTTGGGTGAGCAGATAAAATTTAAATTAGTATTTTCCTCTTTTTCTTTCAAAAAGAGAAATTTACAAATTAAGTCAATATTAAGGGATTGCTAGGAGTGCTAGGGATCTGCTGGGTTTAGAGACTCCACACGGGTTGGGTGCCAGAGATAGAAACGCTTGGTCACAGGCCGGGTGAGCACGGAGTGCGGCCGGAGACCAGGGAGACAGGAGTGACTGACGGCTTTTCTCTGGGGGCTCACTGAGGAGCGGGGCTGAGTTTCCGGCTCCTCTGGGGCAGAGATTGGGAGGCCGCCATTTTCACTCTCGGCCTCCAAAGCCGAACGGAAAGCTTGCAGGGAACAAAAGCTCCGGAGAGCAAACCCTTGCAGAGACTTAGCCCGCCCCGCAAGGGCGGTGCAATTCCACCTCCAGCAAAGACATTTGGAAACCACGGCAACAGGCCCCTCCCCCAGAAGATCAGCAAGAACATCCAGCCAAGACCAAGTTTACCGATCAATGAGAACGGCAGCACTCCAGCACTAGGGGAACATAGCACATAGAATTCATGGCTACCCTAGGACCCAGCAATTGCACTATTGGGTATTTACCCCAAAGATACAAATGTAGTGATCCGAAGGGGCACCTGCACCCCAATGTTTATAGCAGCAATATCCACTATAGCCAAACTCTGGAAAGAGCCCAGATGTCCACTGACAGATGAATGGATAAAGAAGATGTGGTGTATATATATATATATAATGGAATATTATGCAGCCATCAAAAAAATGAAATCTTGCCATTTGCAACAATGTGGACGGAAGTACAGAGTATTATGCTAAGCGAAATAAGTCAATCAGAGAAAGACAATTATCATATGATCTCACTGATATGAGGAATTTGAGAAACAAGACAGAGGATCATAGGAGATGGGAGGGAAAAATGAAACAAGACGAAACCAGAGAGGGAGACAAACAATAAGAGACTCTTAATCTCAGGAAACAAACAGGTTGCTGGAGTGGAAGGGGGTGGGAGGGATAGGGTGGTTGGGTGATGGACATTGGGGAGGGTATGTGCTATGGTGAGCACTGTGAATTGTCTAAGACTGATAAATCACAGACCTGTACCCCTGAAACAAATAATACATTATATGTTAATAAAAAAAAATTGTGAACTTGTATGAAAGGGAGAAAGGGCAACAGTTATGGAAGGTTGAATATATTCCAAGTATTTTTCCAGGAGCTAAACATCCATTGTCTCATACACGGTCCTAAAAACTCAATATGGTATGATCCCCAGTTCACAAAGAAGAAAGTAAGGCTTAAGAAGAGGCCTATTATATCAAAAAATACATTTATCTAAGGCTTAAAGTGGGAAGGATCAAATCCATTCTGTCATTCATGCACATATAACTAAAAAATTATCCAAAAAATTCTAACTTTACCTGAAATGGTGGTTAATCACTTTTTCCTAATATGAATCTTGTCTTGGTCAAATTTTCAGCAATCAAATATTTATTTCCAGAGTTCCTACTCTCTATAAACTAGGAGATACATTCATAGCAAGGATGAGGTAAAAACATAGTAGGAATATTCAAGGAATTTATTCTCCATAAGGAAGAGGAAGATACAACACTATGAAAAGACACCCAAGTCTACGAAGCAGAGTAAGTGAAAGATGAGTATTGCCACAAGTGCTCATTTCCAGCTAGGATGCTAAAGGTAAGTTTCCTGAAGGAAATGGAATGTGTACTTGCTTGAAAGATAGGGAGCATCTGAATACACAAAAAAATGAGGAAATGGCATAACAGCAGAGAAAAGTAAGCAGACAATGCTGAACACATGGGAAAACACTACTTATGCTTAGGGAATAGTGTACAGATCCATTTTGCTGGAGCAAAAGATTAAAACATGGGAATAGTGAGAGATAAAGCAGAAAACAAGTCCTTTCAGATACTCTTACAATTAAATTCTGATGACTTGTTTTATGGATAATGACCTACTTTATTAAGATTTTAAATTTTATTAGTGTTGTATACCGCATTCCCTCATTTTTAATCCCCATGTCATCTTGGGTATACTCTTAATGTGGGTTATTTGTTTACTCCATTTTATTTTTTGTTAGCCTTTTCACCGGCTAACCTTTGTTAGCTTTTCACAGTTTACCAATATTCTCAAGTAATTAGATCTTATTAACCTCTATTTCATCTGTTTTTATCTTTTTTAAAGATATAGTATATTGTAAGTGTCTCAGGTGTATTCGTTTTTTTTTTTTTTAAAGATTTTATTTATTTTTTTGACAGAGAGAGACACAGAGAAGAGAGGGAGAAGCAGGCTTCCTGCTGAGCAGGAAGCCCGATGCGGGGATCAATCCCAGGACCCTGGGATCATGACCTGGGCTGAAGGCAGACACTTAACGACTGAGCCACCTAGGCGCCCCTCATGTGTATTTGTTAAATAAAAATAAATAAATAGCATCTATCGTATTTCCCATGGACGTTGATGTGAACATTGTTCTAGATCTTTGAGTTGTTTAGGCCATTTTTATTTACTCCTAAAAAACTCTTACTTAAAACAATGTTCTTGATTCATTAACATAATAAAATTAGAACAAAACAAAACAATGTTCTCTACACCCCCAAGCCCTTGATTCCAAAGTGTTAATTTTTTTGTTTTCTTTTTTTTCATTTTTTGAGCTACCCTTATGTTGAGGCATAATTCATGTACAATAAAACAATTTAAAGTGTATAATTAATGAGTTTTCACAATAGTGTCTACCAATATAACTGAAAGCACAGTCATAATGTAGAACATTTCTACCACCCCACAAAATGTTTTCATAACTCTCTGGAGTCACTCTCTCCTCCTTTGCTAGTAGCAACTATTCATCTGCTTTTTAGCACTAGAGCTTTCTGAATATCAAATTACCACAATCATACATACTCTACTGTTTCTGGATTCATTTAGCATAAATCTCTTGAGATTCTTTCATAGTGGTGAATGTATTACTAATTAATTCCTTTTTACTGTGTGTAGTGTCCTATTAGGTGGACATCACAATTTATTCATACAACAGTTGGGCAGTTTACTTCTTTCCAGATTAGGGTTATTATGAATAAAGCTACTATGAACATTTGTGGACAATAACGGATGAAGACTGATTTTCTTTTGTCATTTTGCTATTTCCTATACATCTTTTTTCCTTCAATTTCTCCTTATTACTGCTTTGTTTTGTGTCAGATATTTTCCAGAGTACCATTTTCATTCCCTTCTCATTTCCTCTAGCATAACTAAATTTGGAAAATTTCCACCCATAATTTCCTCAAATATTCGTTCTGCCCTTTTTTCTCTCTACTCTCCGAGACTTCCTTTCTGTATATGTTGGTCCATGCGTCTTTCAAACTCTGTTCATTTTTTCATTCTT